TACTCTCTCTCTCTCTCTCTCTCTCTCTCTCTCTCTCTCTCTCTCGCACACCATTCATTTTTAGGGATTGAGAGAAAAAAATCTTCAAAAATTCAAGAAGTTTGAATATTTTTCTTCCTCTTTTTTTTTTTGCTATTGAAAAATTCAAATAATACAAAACCTCTTCTGGAATCTAACATATTTTGCATAGGATTCGTTGTGAATCATCAAGCAACGTTATAAGAGGGTTCTTTTATGAATTAGAGCTCAATATCCATCTGAAACATCGAGGATCAAAGATTGGGCAAAAAAGATAAATATCTATGAATTTTGATACCTTTCCTTCTTTTGAAATGTCTTCTTCGGGTTTAAATAGGATGGGGGATCCAGGAGGCAAAACTGGTTTGCGCCCAAATAAAAACAATTGAAACAAAGTTTTGTACAATTTTTGTAACCAAGATACAAATGCGAGGACAAATACATTTAAAAAAAAATGCCTTGCCGGTATGAAGGGGGATGTTGTCCAAAGTGAAGATACTTAGATAGATGTAGAAGGAAGATGCTCGACTATTTTGGATTTTGTTTTCTTGAAACTGGCTAACTTATTAATTAAAGCAAAACGAATTACAACACAAGTGGTAAAACTGTGACCAACAAGGAGGGTGCTAAGAGTACGGGGAGAGAAGCAAAGAATACAAATAAACCCAAAAAATAAAATACGAAGTACAAATAACATCGAAGCTACAAGAGGGAATAGCAAAAAATTGAAATATAGGAGAGGGAGAGGAGGAGAAGGAAGAAGGTGACGAAGATCTGCCTTGAAGAGAGTGGATTGCGAGAAACCGATTAAGGTTGGATTTGCAAAGAACAGAAGATGGTAACTGCAGAGGCGAGCCTTGACGACTGGGTCTTCGAAAGGCCTAAGAAAATGATTGTCGAATCCTCAGGAGAGCAAACGGCCGAGCCCCGAGAGAAAAAGCTGAGACAACTTGAATAACTTCAAACCTTCATTAGCATGGACACATCTCCCATACACTTGGACAAACCCTAAGAGACAAGCTTCAAAAAGATAAAGAAAAAGAGAGAAAGGAGGAAGGGATTGTGTGCTGCAAAAGGATGCAAAAAGAGAGGAAGGGAAGAGAGTATGGGAAAGGGAGGAAGGGGAGAGACTATGGGATAGTGTGGACGAGAGGAAGAGAGTGAAGAGAAGGTATGGGAGAGAGAGGAAGAGAGTGGAGAGATGATAGAGATGAAGAAAGTAGGGGAGAGAGGGGAGATAGTAGTATAGGTACCAGAATCGAGAGTGAAGCCAGAGAAAGAAACCCCCCAAAACCACAAAAATGTTCAGTAAACAATCATTTTTCTATTCTTACCTTCTTTTTTTCTCCTTGTCATCTTCTTCTTCTTTTTCCTTTTTTTTTTTATTTTTGAAATTTGGATTTTGGATGCCAAAAAAAATAAAAAGGTGGCAAGTGAGGCAAGCATTATAGAGTTCAAGGCGGACTTGAATATATTTGGTGGTACCGAGGAAGATGATGTTGAAGGGAAGACTAATGTGAGTTCCTCATAAAGTTCTAAGAGAGGAATTGGGTTTAAGAAGCCTCATATGAAGAGGCCTGGGGATGTCATTTAACCACCCCTCTCTCCTGCCCCTCCGAGTCCAAGGCTGCAATAGAGAAAGGGAAGAAGCAAGTAAAAATGAAACTAGGTTTAAGAAGAAAGACCAAGCCCGAGTAAATCAATATATTGGTCATTGGATATATCAAGTGGGAATTGCTTTCGATGCTTCTCACTTCAACGGCTTTCATCCAATAATGGCGAAAAGTGGCCAATTTGGGCCAGGGTTAAGGCCCCAACCCCATATAATGAATTTTCCTTTAGGGACGATGTCTATTGATGCATCTGATGATATTCACAATGCACTTTCTATTTTTTCTTTGGTTTATGAGAGTACTGAGGAGGTGGAGCACGTCATCAGGTAGTAAGAAAGCTACTGCCAATCCGTCTAATGCTAATTTCTGATGAAGAACACTCTACAAGAAGCTCACAATTAAGGCTATTGTTGAAATGCCAAGGGTAAAGGAGGCACTTGATAAGGCTGAGGCCATGACAGTGTTCATCTACAGTCACACCCTTATCATTAGCGTGATATGCAAGTTCATTGAGAAGAGGGATATTGTGAGGCTTGGGCTCACAAGGTTGTCACATCTTCCTAACTTTATAGAGCATAATGAAGAAGAGAAACCAATTGCAATTTGCGTTCGCTTCAAATGATTGGGATAGATGCAAGGGGTCCAGGCAAGCTAAAGGGAAGAGAGCATGTCATATTGTTTTATCTAAGTCTTTATGGAGTGGGATTGTGTAAAACTTTAAACAAAACTAACGAGATTGGTCAAGGGTCAAATCTAATGCCTGCTTAAATATGGGATTTGGTGAAACTCTTGGTTACCTTTTTTTTTTTTTTTTTTTTTTTATTGAGTGCAACTATCATTGGTATCAGTCCTAGCTCCCACATTATGTGCTAACTCGGTGTTGAGTTGTATCACATAATTCATGTGAACAATAACAAGGATTAAATGGAAAGAGGACTAGAACAACTTATATACAAAAACTTATGGGGCAAATGATAAAACGTAATCACATGAATATCATAATGAAATAAATTTAAAAAATGAAGAAACAGCAAAACTACATATAATGGAAGACTACTTATATAGAATCGAAGAAATAGTTTGACAATAAAAGCAGAAGGAAAACTATTGGTTTTGTTGTTGTTGTCAGCTCATACACCTACAGGAGCTTCCAAAACTTGAACATTTAATATTTCACCATTACTAGTGTGTTTGAACTCTGAAGCATGTCGCACGATATGTCTTCAAGTAATATAGGAGTTAGCTTCCATGATGCATGTCTTGGTCTGAGCTTTTAAACATTAGATAAAATCAAAATTCCAGTTGGGCAGTGCATTAGCATCATTCACAGAGGAATTTGTGCAGGTTACAATATTGTATGCCAAATGAGCAAGTATGAGGAACAAGAAGCAGAAATGCCAACTAAGTTTGTTCACGTTGACTGATGCACATGGTACATATCAATAGTTAGGCATATTGTTTATTCTAGTGTTATTAAGGCCAAAGGAGATGGGAATATTTGTCTGGTACTGACAGAAACATGCCTTTTGGTCGAAGATGAACCAAAGGAAAGTAGCATCGGTTAAGTTAAATCGGTTTGAAAAGGATCCTTACAGCAATACAATGTTAACTTTTTCTCTAAAAAAAAAGGGGTTTGAAAAGGACAAGAAGAAAGGAAGCAGAGAATTATTACATTGTTCTTCTCTTTTCTAATTTACAGTTACAAGAATGATCAGACAGGACCTCCCACTCTCCCAATTCAATGGTCACTACAATCTCAATAGGAAATGGTTATGACATAATTATTTACATGAGTACAGGACCTGAATTGAGCTGCAATGCTGTGGAAGAAATACAAGGGTTGCAATTTTTTCTGGTAGCATTTCCAAGGTAAATACGTTAATAACCATTTTTTATTATCATTGTGGGAAGACATGGCTCGAAATCACCAGAGTTACTCGGGTGCAACATTTTGCCCAGTTTGAGGCAAACAGATGGGAACTGGCCGAGTCAGCCCAGTTCCCAATATTTTATTATATTTTTCTTTTGGACTCTGCTGACTCTGATAGATTAGGCCAAGTCTGTCAAACATTACTTGGTTTGAAGTCCTGATCCAAGTGCATGTTTTCCAACCCTTGGTAATTAGTAATCATAACAGCAAATAAATCATGTGGAAGTTACTACTTCAACCTGATTCAAGATAGTCATAAATGAGCACCAAAAGTCATTTAATACTAACATATTCCCCTTTGGCAATTTGTTAATGGACAAAGACAAACGCACATACGATTTTACACCATGGATTTCCTAACATAGCATGTCTATTTTGATCTAGGCCGCCGGATTTGCCGTATTTATTATTCAAAAGTTAGTAGTAATATATTTCAGTTAAGGAACATCAAGTATCTGCACCAAGTCATAGACAATTCAAAATCCTAAAAATCTATTGAAATAGACTCTCTCATATGCCTAATAAATGGTACATGACCACAGTGTCAACTCTACTACTCAAAATAAGCAACTACATCAACAGGTAATTTGTACTGTGTGGAAATAAATCAAATACTAGACAGCCAAATTTAATACCATACTATCAGCACAATTCACTAATCTAACTCCTCCCAAGCCTCTCATGCCAGTCCCAAGCCCAGAGAAAAGAGGAGGGTTGTATTGGGTTAGCAGCCAGCATAAAACTTTGCTCCATCTTTCCATGAATCATAAACTAATGTTATATATTCATGATAAGGTGTTCCTTTGATAAATAGAATGGTGGAACAAGATTCGTGTAGCCAATCCCAAATTGTTGGAATAAGGCCTAGATGATAACGATGATGATGATCAGCTTCATTCACAAATGACTAATGGCATGACAATATACAGGTGAACAAAGTAAACGATCACCCAAAGCCATTTTCCTTATGCCTGCATCAATAATATCAACAGAAAAAACACAAGCATTCGCCGCTTGGAAACTAATTTTCTTGATTGAATGAGAGACAGACATAAATAAATTGATAAATAGATAGATAGATACACAGAGAGTTAAATGTCATGTACAGATAGGCAAAGTTAAATGTCATTGTCCTGGCAAACTCAGAGAGAAGAACTTAAATGCCATATTTCAGGGAAATAAAGAGACAAAGTGGACATTTGAAAGAGAAGAGAGAACTGGGATGGGGTGAGGGAGAGGATTTCTTACTTGTTTCTATTTAAAGTCATTAACTAAAGCCTCCAACAACGATATCCTCTCCATTAGCTCCACATTCTTCTGCCGCTCCCTCTGCAACTCCGCCAATATCTCAGCCACACCCTCTGCTCCCCTCTCCAAAGAAACAATCTTCGCTCCCTCAGAGTTCTCAGCAGTAGAAGGGTAGCAACCCAAAGCAGCCGGTAGTAAAGAAGAAGAAAGATAATGCTTTATATTTTCAGAAGGATAAGGGGCAGGTCGCGCTGTTCCACAATAACACAATACAGGGGCGGAGGAGGAGGAGGAGGAGCCACCTCCATTAAACCCTCTGCCCTCAGAAACAGGGGGCTGCTGCTCACCATTCATGAAGTACCCGTTGCAAGTTGCTGCACAAGTGCCGTCGCCGTCGCCGTCGCCGTCGCCGCCGCCGCAGATAAGAGAGTGAAGTTGAAGATCGTTGTTGAGAATGTGAAGGCCTGCCATGCCTCCTGCCGGACCTGTAAATCGCAGTCACGCCAACAGCTTTTGGGAAAAAGGGCGTGGCGTAATTGACGTACGGACACAAAACATTAGGAGAATACGAAATGGGCTAATTTTTTTTATAAAAGGTCGATCAACCTCATCCATAATTTTTTATTGTTTTAATGTTTTTCGTTTTTGTTAGTAGGGCTCCCCTAGCTCAGTCTAGAGAGTAATCCAAAGTCTCCACCTCGTAACGTTCTTTTCTTCCAAAAAAAAAAAAAAACAACCAGCAGTACGAGGATAGAGACCTTATGTCGCTTTAAAACCGATTCAAGGCTAATTTCTATAGCGATCTGAGTTCACCATCCTCATACCGCTATGGAACTAAGCCCTACCAACGAACAAACTAATAAATAATAAATCATACTCGAAGTAAATGACAATTTAAAAATAAGAACAAAAAATACAAATTGACCAATTTTTCATATAACTTTTAATCAAAATTGACCCATTTTATATTTTCCTATTTTTTGTAACCATACTAAATTACTCAAAAACAAACAACCCTCATGCAAATTGAGTCCATCCAAACAAGCCATCTAGTCACTTAATCCCCCAACGTACACACTATGGTGTCAATGCGCAGTAAAAACCTCTATGAGAAAGTTTTTGCCATTTGAATTGTTGCTTTTTTTGCTTATTTTTCTTGAGAAGTGGTAATTATTAAGGAAAATTATAGATATCCCAATTGACTTATTTCTAGGCATGTCATCTCCCAATATTTTGTAAATCATACTCCTAAGCTTAAAGCTTTTTATGTTTGCAAACATAATTTAAAGTAAAAAATTAGGCTTTTTTAGACCAAAATACTCATGTTACATTTTCCACTTTCTATCTCTAAGCCGGTCAGGTACAAAATGCCAGACCAATACAATTTGAGACCAGCTCTGTATTCAAGTTATGCTAGATTTTTGCCAAACCTACACATGTTGAGCGTTAGTTTTGAAATCATGGGTTAAAATTGGGGGTATTTTGGTTAAAAACTCATTTTTTTAGTTGAGTGGTGGTTGTAAAAAAAATTTATGTTAGGGTTAATAGCATGGTATCAAAAGTGTTACGAGGGAGGATGGCTAAAAAGTATTGATTATGAGGTTTTTTATATTTTTCCCTAATTATTATGGGAACTAGAAAAGCTTTCCCAACTTTTTTTCCTCGTATTGTTTTAGGAAAACCGTTCTATCTATTTGGGTGTGAAACTTATGGTGAATAAACTTCCTCAAGCACTAGAGAACTGCTACCATAGAAAAATAAAAAAAAATGTGCCTTAAAATCGTTAATAAACTTCATGGAAAAAGCTGTCAAAATACATATAAAAGATCAACTATTTAACATTATATCTCTGACCATAGTTAAAAAAATATAAGCTAATAAATTGTTTGAAAGTAAAATATAACGACACACCCTTTATAGTGTGTGTATCTCGTTGGGTACCATCCCCAATGAGAATATTGCTTTTGTCAAAAACATAAAATAGTATTGGAACCAAAAATCCTAGTAAGACTTCTCAAAATGCATTTCCTTAGAAGGCCTCACATATTGCATTTCTAGCCCTTTGGGAAGAGTAGATTTTACATTTACTCTGCAGACCAGGGATCCATGAGTATTCTTTTACCCTAATATTAGCAAAATATTAATGAACAATTTCTTTAAAAAGTTGCTTGAGTTCCTAACAGTGTTCGATTGCACGAACAGGCTGCAGAAACAGGCCATGAGCCAAGTCCAAGTAACCTATAACTGATGTACCGGCCAAGCAAAAAATGAATTAAAAAAAAAAAAATCCAAAAAGTATATTTCCTATTAAAGTAAGATTAAAAAAAAAATTCTAAATGAGGTTAAAAAAAGTAGTAAAAAATAGATTGTGAAAAATCAATTTGTGGTAGCTATATTTTTAAAATAATCAAAAAAAGATGAGAAATGTAAAAATAAGTATTTATGGCCGAAATACTTTCCAATATTTGATAAAATAATAGACACATAAAAGAACATGTTACAAGTAGATTTCTTATTTTCTTTTCTTTTTTTGATTTTTTATATCTTTTTTTAACTTTGTTTAAGATCCCCTAGGATGACAGCCAATTCAGAGATCTGAGCATACTCGCTCAACTAGTCGAATACCGGTTCCTAGAAAACCTTGATAAGTTGCCATCAAATGGGCAGAGTGCATTCATCTTTTAGGGTAAATGTGAAAAGTGCTATTTCCTTATGGACAAAACATCCCACTTATAGATGTACAAGATAAAAGATAAATACAAATAATTCTCAAACCCATGATTGAAGGGATGAGATAACAACAAATAGTTATAACAATAACAGGATCTCATTTTGAATGGGTCTTCTAACTTTGAATTTGAAATCACATCTAAGCTAGTCCGGGTGTAATTCAAAACTTTAATTCAAAACCGTCAATACTCCCCCTCAAGCTAGTACATGAAGACACATAACACCCAGCTTGGACAACAACAAATGAAATTGTGCACATCCAAGGGGCTTGGTCAAAAAATATGCAAGTTGTAATCGTGATGGCGCGTACGAAGTGGAGACTAGGCTGGATTGTATCTTTTCCCTAATAAGATAGTAGTCCAATTCTATGTGCTTGGTACGTTCATGTAAGATAGGAAAGCAGCTTGGTTCTCACAATTGAGATGCATAGGGCGAGAGTGAGAAACTCCAAGATCAGCAAGGAGAAACTTAAGCCATGTCAACTCACAAGAAGAGGTGGCCATAGACCGATATACAGCCTCAGCCGAAGAACGTGCCACAGTAGTTTGCTTCTTAGTGCGCCAAGAGATGGAACTTGCGCCTAAAAAAGTAAATACTCAGTAGTAGGATAACGAGTCATGGGACAACTTGCCCAATCTACGTCAGAGTAGGCCGTGATCTTTTTAAGTCACTTACAGATGGAAGCATAATGCCTTGCCTTAGAGTGGCCTCCAAATATCATAGAACTCATTGAGCCCCATCAAGATGGGGCTTGAGAGGTGCCTACATGAATTGGCTAAGCACGTGTACTGAGTAAGTGATATCAGGGCGTGTAATCGTCAAATAAATGAGTCGTCCCACAAGACGCCTATAAGAACCAAGATCGGCTAAAACAACACCATCATCCACCTTTAGCCGAAGATTTTGCTCCATTGGGAATCAGACTAGTTTGGATCCAAGAAAACCAATTTCTTTCAAAATGTCCAAAATATATTTTCGTTGGCTAATGGAAATGCCCTTAGCTGAGTGGGCAAGCTCAATACCAAGAAAATATTTGAGCTGCCCCAAATCCTTGATGTGAAATTCGAATCTAAGTAGGATTTCAAACGATTGATTGAGTGGATTTCATCGCCAGTAACAATCACATCATCCACATAAACAAGTATTACGATAAAGTGGTGATCATTGGGATGGGTAAATAAAGAATAATCAGCAAGGATTGCTTGAAACTGGTTGCCTTGAAAGCAGTGGAGAACTTGTGAAACCATTGACGAGAAGCATGTTTGAGGCCATATAAAGATTTGCAAAGTTTACAAATGAGCTTCTCGCCCTTTCGAGTATTACCAGGTGGAGGAATCATGTTCCTCACATAAGTCTCCACGCATAGTGTTGTTAACATCCAATTGGTGTAAAGGCTAATTCCTTACAGAGGTAATGGCAGGTAAACATAGCATGGTAACTAGCTTGGCGATAGGTGCAAAAGTCATATAATAATCGAGTCTTGCAGTTTGTGTATATCCTTTGGCAGTCAAACGTGCATTGTATCTTTCTATAGATCCATCAACACGGAACTTAACCTTATAAACCCATTTGCTACCAATTGGGCGCTTACCAGGTGGTAAGGGCTGTAGGGTCCAGGTTTTGTTTTCTTCAAGGGCTTGAAGTTCTGCGACCATAACATTTCTCTAATGAGGTTGTTGGATGGCTTGTTTAAAACTAGAAAGTTCATATAAGAAGAGATACTAGTCAAATAAAATTGATGAGGAGCAGAATAAACATCATCAAAAGGTAGGGGCAACATGGTAGGGTTTACCTAGGGCAACTAGCCCTGGAAAAGACTGTTTAGAACTGTGAGACGAGAAAGTAGGCACGTTGTCCCAAGATGAACTACAAACATAGTCATTAAGATATGTTGGTTTGTGAGATGTTTACTGGGAGCATCGTATGGAAGGCAGCAAGTTATTAGGTGATGGTGGTGAGGGGGTAGGTAAGGGAATACTATTATCGGATGGTTGTTAGTCATCAAAGGGAGAGGGATTATGGTTTGAAAACAAAAAGCATTTTCATAAAAGATCACATCCCTACTAGTGAAAATTATGGTAGAACTAAAATCATACATCCGGTACCCTCATTGTCCAAGTGGATAACCAACAAAAATACAACATTTTGCCCGAGGGTCGAACTTGTGTCTTTGAATGTCACTGTTATGGGCATAGTATAGACATCCGAAAACACGAAGGTGGTCATATTTGGGCTTGCATCGAATAAACATTTCATATAGAGTTCTTCCCGAAAGAATATGAGTAGGCAGTCAGAATATCAAGTATACAACCGTTAGAATACATTCTCCTAAAAAACAAATTGGTAAATGAGCTTGGAAACGCAAGATCAATGCTACCTCCAAAATGTGGTGGTGCTTGCGTTCCGCAACACCATTGTACTATGGAGTTTGCACACAAGTTCGTTAGTGTAATATGCATTACTCATGAAAAAGAGTTTGCATGGAATTAGATAAGAATTCAGTGCCATCGTCTGTTCTAACTTGTTTGACATGATAGTGGAACTGAGTTCTTACCATGACAAGAAAGTTCTTCATAAAAGGATATGTTTCATATTTGAATTCCATTAAGTATATCCAAGTACATCTAGAGAAATCATCTACAATGGTAAGAACATAATGAGCACCTAAATGAGAAGGGGTCGAATAATCTCCTCAAATGTCACAGTGAATAAGTTCAAAAGGAGAAGAGCATTTATTCAAACTAAAAGTAAATGGGAAACATGTTTGTTTAGCCAAAATGTATACATCGCAAGGTACAACAGAACATGAAAAAATATCTAAATGAGATAAAGGTAA